AAGTTCCTCACTGACAAAATTGTGATTCTACCTTTTAAGTAGAAGTTGTGAGCATTTACGATTCATTTGCTATATAGAGTGTGGCATGATCATAGGTGCTCAATAAACACACACTATGGGCAACATTGATGGGAGCTACTGGAATTTAATCAACATAGGTCACTGTCACTGTCACTGTCCTCCCGTTGTTCATCGATTTGCTCGAGTGGGCCCAGTAACGTTTCCATTGGAGACTTTGTTGTTACTGTGTTTTAAAGCACTTGGGGGGATTCTGTCCATGAGGTTGAAATTATGGACAGATGACAAATTATGGACACTTCTTTGGATGAGAAGTAGGGTAGAGTGTGATGTATTTCACAGTATTTTGTTCAAGGAGCATTTATGGAATGACGTACTGGATCATGTGTGAAAAGTAGGGCATGGACACTATTCTCTGTGAGTACAGAGCCCTGTGAGGAAGATAGATATATAGCAAGTCTCTTTCTTGCAGTGCTGCTTTATAAGAGCAAAGGGAAACGGGAAGTCCAAAGTTGTGGGAGCAGCAGTCCCACTGAATGGCTTAATTTTAGAAATCCAGATCTAAGTATAGGGGTTAAGGCCCTTACCTTGCATGCAGAGTTAGGAATAGCCCTGTTGCCCCACTGGGTATGCCCCTCCTGCCCCCCTGCAAAAAAAAAAAAGGACGAAATACTGTTACTGAAAGTATATCCCAGTGATTTGATTTTTTTAATCCTAAAAAACTTCTTAAATTAAAATAAAATTTGAATGAAAAAAATGAAAAACCAAGATCTAGTTTGAAGGAAGCAAGAGAAGCATTATTAGAAGAGTTGTATTCCGTCAATGTTTTGCAGGAAATACTCAGGTTGTTTTGAAGATCTAAGATTTGGCTAAGGGGGTGGGGGGGGCTGGTAAAAAAAATGGGAGAACAGTGTTTTGGAGAAAGTGAAGAAACATCAGCAACTAATGCCACAGAGAGGAGATATGGCACAGAAACCCAAACGTTGGGTTATTTGTAATTATGCTGATCCTCGCGAAAGTGTGGTGGGAAAAAATGGGAAATGAAACAAGTAGAGTCATGTGCCGCATGAGGGAGGCGGTGGGGAAATCCTGTGAGCTCACGAACAGGGGTGACTCAACTCCGGGTTCAGGGACAACAGAATATCTGCATTTAAGAGAACAAAGGTGGAGAAAACAGTGTTGGCAGGTCCTCCAAAATTTAAACGTAAAATTACCATAGTAGTTTTGATATTGCTGGAATTCCCCAGCAATTCCACTAGTAGATGTGTATCCTGAAGAATTAAAAGCAGGACTCAAACTAGTACATAGCATCAATGTTCACTGCAGCTCTGTTTATAGTGACCAAATTGAGGAGACAATCCAAATGCCCCTTGATCGATGAATAAATGAACAAAGCGTGGTACATTCATAGCAGTGAACATTATGTGGCCATAAAAAGGAATGAAGTTCTGATCTATGCCCCGACGTGGTTAAACATGACAACACTGTGCTAAATGAAATAGGCCGAAAACAAAGGAAAAGGCATTTATGAAACCACTTAAGTGAGATCTCTCAAGTCAGCCAATTCAGAAACAGAAGTCCTATGGGTGGTGAGGGGACAAGAAAAATTACCACTGAATTATTACAGTTTCTGTTTGGGATCCTGAAAATTTCAGAAAACAGGTCATGGTAATAGATTTTGCAAAATGGTGAGTGGGGAAATATTTACATTGCACGCATATAGGTGTGTAACATATATAATCAGTTTTTTTTAATTTAAGAGAAACAAATAACTTTGTGCCCCAGCCACATATCATAAACAAAAATCAATTCAAAATGCATCAAAGACCTGAATGCAAGAACTAAACTTATAAAACACTTTGAAGAAACGCAATATAAATCCTCATAAATTTGGAAAGTGGTGAAACAGTGGTTTCTTAGATATGGTTACAACCAAAGAAAAAACATAAATTGGATTCATAAAGACCCCAGTTCATGGCATTTGGAAAACAGATAACACACCGGTGCAGTAATTGCCCAAGGCGAAATATGAGGTAAGATAAGTGAAAAGAGGTTCCGCGATGAACCCTCACATACCCACATCATCAAACCTCAGCGTCATTAGAGCCCCATTTTTCACACCAGGAAATTCAAAGTTCAGGGATGTGAGCCACCATGCTCTCCAGCTACCAGCTGGTAGGGCTGGCACCCCTAACTTCCCGGGGCACTGCAGCTTCAGGTTCTTCTTTGCAGTACGTGTTCTTTCTCCTTGATCACATTGGCTTTCCCGGGGAAACTGAGCCCCCAGACAGTGTCCAGAGGAAGGCCTGGGCTCTACAGGTCCACGAGCAGTCGCCGTGCACCTAGCCGCACTTATGGCATCTGTAAAGCTGAGATTAAGCCTTTCTCTTCTCTCCCTAGTCACTCCACAGACATCTGTAACAGCACACTCTTTTGAACGCATCACTCATTTGGAGAATGGCAAGGGCTGTGTGACATTTTTTTAAAATTTTATTAAAAATGATTTATACCATGATTTACAAAGTTGTTCATAATAGAGTTGTTCCAGGCATGTACTAGTCCAACACCAATCCCACCACTGGTGTTATCTCCCCCTTTGCCAGTGTCCCCAGTTTCCTTACTTCTTGCCAAGCCTGCCCCCGTAACAGGCATATAATAAGTTTCCTTTACATTGCCTACTCCAACATGGACACTCTTTGGTCTGTACTACATCCCTATGTTCATCCTATGTAAGCAGAGCTTCTTTTTGCAAAGTTAATAGGAGACTTAAGATGATTCACTGACTTCATAATCCCAGTCACTTTTTACCTCCTCCTCCTCCTCTTCCTCCTCCTCCTCCTCTTCTCCTCCTCCTCCTCCTCTTCTCCTCCTCCCCTCCTCTACTTCATCCTCCCCTGGAGGTTTTTAGCCACCTGCCTATTCCATGGCCCCAAACCACATTTCTACAGAGGTCTTTGTGTGCTTTTCTTTAGTTCTGAAATAAGCGACCTTAAGTTTTACCCTTTCTCATATGACTCCAGAAGTCAAGAATCTTAAAACTAATGGTGGAAACAGGGTGACAGGAAGAGGAAAATTTGTGGAGGGAAGTGGACACTGGTGAAGGGATCCATGTTGAAGCATTTTATGCCTGAAACCCAATCATGAATAACTTTGTAATTCGTGAGGACTACATTTTTAAAAATAAAAAAAAAACTAAAAATAAAGATAGGCATGCCATGCACCCAGTTACATTTTCAGTAGAATGTTTTTAAAAAAGTAAATTTTATTTTAAAAATAGATTGCTTTTGTGATTTGAAAATAATGTTTGGGGGTGAAAAAAAATTGAGGACTCCTAGCTTCTACCTCTTTTCCATTTCCAGTACTTAGCAAGAAGACCCTATCACAAGGTATTCTTGTGACAGCTACTCAACAGATATTCTGGATGTGGGGAAAGTCAGGACTTACTGGCTGCAAAGATTCTCAAAGTTGTTACCGTGGGGTGGCAGGTGGACTAGAGCATCTTTGTGCCATGGAGGCAGAGTTATGTGTGGGTTCAAGTGACTTCAGGTTTCCTCGTCCTTTGAAATGTTTTCTCCCCTCAGTGGAGTCTGAGCCTCCCTCCTCTGCACTTTTCTGGAGTGGGGGGGGGAGAATCCAGGGGGAGTGCACTCCTGGGAGACAGCTGGAGCTAGCAAAGCATGAGCTAGAACAGAGCGTGCGAGCCCGCACGGGAGGGGCGCGTGTGCTGTCTGGAAAGGCAGTGGGAGTCTGGGCATGAACGCGAGAGAGAATGTACTGTGTCCAGTCTGGGGAGAGTGATCCTCCCAGAACAGACTGCAGTGAGGAGAGAAGGGTGAGAGAGACCGGGGGGGGGGGGGCGGTGAAGAGAACAAAACGAGCAGCGTGAGGGCGAGTGTGAGGCTCTGGTGCTCAGTCGGGCAACCAGTGGGGATCAGTGGAGGGAGAGCACGAGAGAGTCGATGGGGGAGAGCCAGCCCATGGAGCCTTCACTAGCTCTCTGAGCACCAGAGAGCTAATTACTAATAGCTAATTACTAGGAGCCTCTAAGAGGGGGGTCAGAACCACAACCAGGGGCCAGAGAGACAGTAGTGGGGGTTAAGGCGCCACATACAGTCTTCCAAGCATGGCCAGGAGTGACCATGAGCACAGAGCCAAGCCTAAGGGAAGTGAGTATGAGGTGACATATCACCGGGGAAAGAAAAGCGATTATGAGCACATCGGTGAGAGAGATCTGGGATGAGATGCAGGAACAGGAATGGGTGTGTGGAAGCAAAGATGCAGGGGACAGCAAAGGCAAGGGAAGGCACAGGCAGAAGCCAAGAGTGAGCCAGGGACCGTTATGACGAAGATAGTTGGAAATGAACACTCTGGACAAGAGCGGGGTGCTGGAAGTTGGTAAAGGGACAAACATGATAACCTCTCAGGATCTATATGCAAACTATAATGCCCTAAAGGAGGGTGTGAACGAGAGAGAGAGAGAGAGAGAGAGAGAGAGAGAGAGAGAGACTCAGAGACAGTCATGGGTGATTCCAGCCCTGGCCTCTACCTGGCATACAGCTCAGCCATTGCATACATAAGGCTGAGTCAGAAGTGCTCTAGGGCCTGGGGATGGGGCGCAGCAGTCAAGCACAGGTCTCACCTGTGTGAGCCTTGGCCTTGATCCTCAGCCCCAGAAAGAGAAATAATAGTAATTAGCTCTCTGGTGCTCACTGAGCACCAGAGAGCTAGTGAAGATCCCCTAAGGTCACTTGCAGGGGACCACGCTAGGAAATCAGCTTGCTGTCATGCTGGGAACTCCTCCAGCAGAGCCCACAGGTCCGTGGTGTCTGCATCAGGAGACCCACATCTCGCACCGTGAAGCCGGCCTGGCCTGGCCTACCACTGCCAGCGTGTCTCAGGACCTCTGTGTCAAGGTCCCCCCTGCCCAGGGGCATCCTCCCATGCCTGTTTAGCGACCACTCCTACCCCTTCCCTCCTCACAGCCGCTCGCTCTTCTGCCAGCCGAGGGCCCTGCCAGCGCCACCCCCCAGGCCATGGAGAATGAGCTGCCCGTCCCCCACACGTCCAGCGGTGCCAGCGTGGCCAGCAGCCCCAGTGGCTGCAACAGCAGTGGCAGCAGTGGCAGTGGAAGCGGCCGCCCCGCGGGGCCCCAGATCTCCGTGTACAGTGGCATTCCCGACCGGCAGACCGTGCAGGTACGACCCCAGCTGGTGAGGAGAGCATGTGCCTCAGACGGCCACAGGGCCAACGTGGGCTGACAGAATAACGGGGGTGTGGAGTCCAGAGTGGGTGTGATGGGATGTGTTCGCAGACATGAGGCTGTGCAAAGAGCATGCTCTGTGGGTCCAAGCAAGTGAGAGGGGGACGGATCAGGAGACCCTTTCTCGCCTGCTGATTCTCACCCCTCTGGGCTGTTCTGGGAAGACATGTGTGGGAGGATGTTAAGAGGCAAACAAAGGGGGAAAAAAATAAAAAAACAGGGAAAAGAAAGAAAAAAAAAGCCAGGAGCTGCTCTATACCACAACCGAGACCTACTAGGTCCATGACCACTGACCCGGGACAAAAATACCTTTCTTAAAGGCAGCAGTCCCAAGGGAGCCCCAAACATTCCTGTCTTGCAGCGTTTGACTTCTTCCTAAATCAGCAGCTTGCCCATGAGGATGTGGGGGGAAGGGGGAATCCCACACTGTTCCCAGAGCACTTGGCCCCAAGCCCTGGCTGACATCTGCCTTCCCTACCTGCTCTCAGCATGGCTGTCGGACACGCCGATAGCACGCAGAAAACAGGTTCCCTGCAAAGGCAGCACTTGTGCAGGGTGTTCAAGGTAAAAAACGAAAACCTGAATCGTACCCTCCACCCCAACTCGTGTTCTTAATCTCTACAATATCTGGGGCGGGGTTTGGTTTGGTTTCAGGGCCACACCCAGCGGTGCTCAGGGCTTACTCCTGGCTCTGTGCTCAGGGGTCACTCCTGGTGGGGCTCCAGGGCTCCTCTGGGGTGTCAGGCATCAGCGGTATGCAAAGCAAGCGCCCGACCTCAGTCCTCTTTACTCCAGCTCCTACAATGAGGTTCCCAATAAAACTGGCAGAAAAGACCTCACAGCCAGCAAGGTTTGCACTGAGGAGCTCTGCTAGTCCCCAAGGGCTAACGGGCCGTGGCTCCCACTGCTGGGGTCCAGCCAGGGAAAGGGAACTGAGGAGCAGCCATGGCAGATGGGAGGCTGGAAACTGCCACCCAAGGTGATGTCTGCAGACCCTCCGGAATCCCCCCCTCCCCTGACTCCTGCAGCCTCCCGCCTGACCAAACCGTCTACTGGTGTCCGCTCAGGGTCTGGCCCGGGAGCATAATAGCTCTAGTTGCCAGCAGCTGACATCCGTGTGTGCCTCCATCCACTCCTCTGCACAACTCAGGGAGAACAAGTTGCGTTGTTTTCCCTCCAGTTGGCCCTGGGTTGACTCCGGCAAACAGAGTGGACCAGTTGTGGCAACATCCACAGGGAACCACTGGGGGCTCCCACCACTCTCAGACTGCCCCCACTTGCAAACGGTCCTCCCCGGGGCCCCTCCCCTATGTCAGCACTGCCAGAGGCACTGCAGGAGCCATGAGGAAAGAGGCTTAGGGAGGGAGCACCGGGTGAACAGGCGTCTGTGGGTCACAGGATGCTGAAGGAAGGAAGGTGTGGATGAGCAGAGGTGGGGTGGGGTATCCAGCCCTGGGGGAGGCGCCATTTAGGGGGGAGGGTTAGAGGGGCAGGATCCAGGGTTAGGATCAGCCCTACAGCTAGAGGTTTCACAGAGCTAAGGCCAGGGAGTAGGCCCGAGCTGACCCAAGCCTTAGAAGGTGGCAGAGGGCAGAGCTGACAAAGCATCAGAAGGGAGAAAAGTCTTCAGCTTGGAGACTGGGCTCTGGGCACTGGGCAAAGACTCTTCCTTCTCTCTGTCCCTGGGGCCCCAGGAGCCTTGGGGTGCTGAGACAGAAGTAGCCAGGAGACAAGAGCTGCTCTGTGTCCTAGAGAAAGGGAGCAGGAGTCTCCAGGAGAGGGCAAAGGAGAATTGAAGAGAAGTGTGTCCCCAGGGCCTAGGCAAGGGGGGGGGGGGGGCGGGGATGCTGAGGGGAGCTTTTCTGGGGCTGATGGGACTTTGCAGGCAGGAAGCAGGAGGCTGGGGGGCAGGGGTGTGGAGCACCAGTGGGAGCAGCCCCAGCAGGAAGTTTGAGCCCTCAGAGTGCATGGCCTTGTGGCTGAGGCTGGCACCAGCTGGCCAAGCTTGTCTCTTCCCCCCCAACCCTTCCCTTCATCCTCCTTGCTTTCCTGTCACCCTCACTGGAGGCAAAAACCCAGGGAGAGGTTGCTCAGGGATGGGAGCACACGCCTTCTGTGTGCATAGACCCCAGTCCCATCCTTGGCACCACTTTCCACACCACCACCCCCAAAACCACCACCAGGCATGGCCCTGGTGGCCCCCGGAATGGCTGGTCCCTGGCAGTGTCACATTGTTGGACGAAATCATGGAACCTTCCAGCCAGGAAGCACCCTGGGGGCCCATGGGTGCTGCTTGGGGACACCCTTGCCACTAGCCTCTCCTCCCCTCCAAAAAAAAAAACCTGGAAAAAGGGGGCTGGAGCGATAGCACAGCGGGTAGGGCATTTGCCTTGCACACGGCCGCCCTGGGTTCGATTCCCAGCATCCCATATGGTCCCCTGAGCACCGCCAGGAGTAATTCCTGAGTGCATGAGCCAGGAGTAACCCCTGTGCATCACCGGGTGTGACTCAAAAAGCCAAAAATAAAGTTTTTTTTTTAAAAAAAAAAAAGAAGAATGGTGAGGGCAGGCAGTTCTGAAGGGGCCTGGGACAGAGGGGCCCTGGGTTTAAAGTGATTTGCACCTCAGGCTGGCTAGAATGTGGGCACGGCTTGGACGTTCCCAGGAGAACCAGAGCCGCAGCCTGGACCGAGACAAGCAGACAGGCCAAAGGCTTGGCCAGCGGGGTCTGACCGCCACCTCCCGGGAGAGTGCGGGTCACAGAGAGCCTGTGGGTCCTGGCCCCTCCGGGCCGCAGCCCGGGAGATGTGGGGCTGGCAGGGCCCGCGCCGTGCGGGCATTGGGCCCCTCGCTGAGCTCCCCGCTGCCTCCGCAGGTGATCCAGCAAGCCCTGCACCGGCAGCCAGGCACGGCGGCGCAGTACCTGCAGCAGATGTACGCGGCCCAGCAGCAGCACCTCATGCTGCAGACCGCCGCGCTCCAGCAGCAGCACCTGAGCAGCGCCCAGCTCCAGAGCCTGGCCGCCGTGCAGCAGGTGAGCGGCCAGGTCCAGGGGAGGCGGGCTCCGGCCTGGGCAGTGCGGGGGAGAGGCTCTGAGCGGTGACGTGGGCGGTCATTCGGCGCGAGGGGGCGGGGATGGGGCCCTCACGCTCCTCCCCCTCTCTGCTGGACCCTCAGTGCTCAGCACAACGGAAACAGGCGCTGAACACGCTCAGTGTCTGTGTTGGGTGGGTTTCCGCCTCCTTCCTCTGCGGTGCCTCTGGGAATGCACACACGGGAACACCCCCAGAGCTCGCCCCTCCTGCTCCTCGCGGCTGCTGTGCTGGAGGGGACCACCGAGCACTTGCCGAGGAGGACCCCGCCCATGCCGCCGATTGAGAGTGGCTAGTTCGTTCAGCTACACGGACATTCCCAGAGGCACCGCAGAGGAAGGAGGCAGAAACCCACCCAACACGGACACTGAGCGTGTTCAGCGCCTGTTTCCGTTGTGCTGAGCACTGGGGGTCCAGCAGAGAGGGGGAGGAGCGTCCACCAGGGTCCCAGACTCACCTGGAGCTGACCCTGCCGGGTGGGGAGGGGCCACACGAGGCTGGTCCAGACAGTGTGCGTGCTTGTGGCACAGCCCCTGGGTCAGCGGTGGGGGGGCCGAGGGAGAGCTGGAGACACCATGACCATCACCCTTCCAGTCCGAGGGCCGAGCCTTCCCCTGTCTGGTATGACTGGGAAGGATGGTGCTTGGGTCTGCATATGCTCCAGGTCTGTTCCAGATGACAAAAAATAACTGACCCGCTCAGAACCGATGCTGGGGCCACACTCTCAAACGCTGGGGGCCACGGTCCTCTTTTTGGCTTTGCTTAATGTCCACTTTAGAGAAAAGGAGGCGGGAGGCAGTGCCTGAAGTCACGTAGATGAGGGTCAATTCCAGGAAGTTCAGCTCCTCCGCATGGCCCAATAGTGCCCCTCTTAGGGGCAAGAGCCGGGGGTGTCATGGGGCTCGCCTGACCGGAATCCTTCTGTTCTAGGCCAGCCTGGTGGCCAGCAGACAAGGGAGTTCTTCCGGCAGCAGTGTGTCTGCACAGACCCCCGCCCAGTCAGCCTCGGTGAGTGGACAGGGCAGGCGGCAGGCAGAGCTCCCCGCTCGGGTCCAGCCCCATCCTCCTTGGCCGAGAGGCTGAGAGTCTCCTCCTCTTACCAGGAAAGACCCACGTGGGTCCCCCAGAGCTTCCCACGCCAGGCCTTCTGCTCGTGCCCCTCCAGAGATGGGCAGTGCTGGACCCTACCAACATACGGAAGGGGGAGGACAGGGAGGGGGCGAGGGGCAGGAGGTGCAGCGTGAGCCCACCGAGTGCCTCATCTCTGACCGCACGTGTCCCTCTCCTCAGATCAACCTGGCGGCCGCCCCAGCCGCGGCCCAGCTCATCAACCGGGCCCAGAGCGTCAACTCGGCCTCCGCCTCGGGCATCGCGCAGCAGGCGGTGCTCCTAGGGAACACGGCGGCCCCGGCCCTCACGGCCAGCCAGGCACAGATGTACCTGAGGGCACAGATGGTGAGTCCCCAGCGGACACTGCAAGATCAGAGAAGGGTGGGGAAGAAGCACCAGGGCACTGGGGCGTCAGATGGTGGGGGGGGGGTGTCGGTGCAGATAAAGGGGGTCCCAGAAGGGGAGGCAAGCTGAGCCCAAGGCTCCCTGACTCAGAAAGTGGCCTGTGGTCCCTCCTTTCCTTCTCCAGCTTCGCCTCCCTATCAGGAGCCCCTCCCCCACACTAATTCAGGGGAGAACCCCAGGGTCGTGCCCTCTAACCCGACACATGTGTTCTACAGAGACAGCGTCTACCCCCTTGCCCTGGTCCTGGCCCCCACTCACCCCTGGGCCAAAGGCCCCTGGAGCCCTGTGATGTGGATAGCGGCCGGCTCTAGGGACCGCCGCCACTGCCCTCCTCAGGCCCGGCTCTGACTGGGACCACCCTCCTGTCCACTAGTCGGGCAGGGCCCGTGGGCGCTGCAGCCGTCTCTAAAGCGCACGAGGCCCAGGCACCCAGCAGGCTTCTCAGATCTGGACAATTTCCCTGGGAAAATGGCTCCATGCCCTCGAAGAGGGAGGGAGGATGGCAGCTGGCTCTGTGCTGGCCTCTCCAGGTGCCCCAAGCCCCCTCGCCTCAGCCCCCCTGAGGACGGTTCCTTCCCACAGCTCCTGGCACCAAGTCCTCCACCCTCTTCGTCCCTGGGCCAGAACGGGCCACTTGCTGGTGCGTTTCTGCTCAGCTTCTAGCACTTGTGCCCCGGGTGCTGAGTTCGGGGTGGGCGGTCACCTGGGGGACCTACCTGTGAGCAGTGTCCACTGCTCCAGCCACCACACAGCCACAGGGGTCCTGGCCCACACCTGCCTACGCCAGGGCCTCCTTGGAACCTGCTCTGGGGAGGGCACTGTCATGACAGACACGAGGTGTCTGCAGCCCCTGGGAGCCTGGGCTTCACCCAGGGTTCTCATGCCCACACACCCCGTCTAGACTGGACTCAGAAATGACCATGCGAAGACGTCTCATTCAGTCCTTTCCAGAGGCGGGGCTTGGTTCCGGGCAGGCCCGGGGTCAGAAAGGGTCACGGAGGACGGGCCTGAGGGTGCTGTCTCACTGCCCCCCTGGTCCCTGCTGCCTGGTGTTCCGTGGTCAGGGGCCCCCTCCAGGATGTGCTCTGCAGAGGCTTCTGGGGCACCTCACTGACTCCCAAAGGCCCCTTCCCTTCCCTGTGCCCTCTCTCCCCTGCCCCCTCCCCCCGGGCTGAGCCGGCAGTGGCAGGCCCGGCCAGGTCACCTGGTGGGTAGCTGGGCGCCCAGGCGGCTCTGTTCCTTTGTCCCCCCAGCTCATCTTCACGCCCACGGCCACCGTCGCTACTGTGCAGCCTGAGCTCGGCACTGGCTCCCCCGCCCGGCCCCCCACCCCTGCCCAGGTGAGGACCCCATGCTGCTGGGAGGGCTGGGGGGAGGACATGACCCTGGATGGGCCTGACATGGGGGATGGGGAGAAGCCCTGAGGGCCCAAGGTGGGGGCCTCCTAGGAAAGAGGCAGGAGACGGGCGTCCCAGGGCTCACTCTCGGGGCTCCTTCGGGGGCAGTGCCTCTGTCCCCTGTCCCCAGAGAAAGGGCTCATCTGCCCCCCAGAACTGGGAGAGGGAGCAGAGAGCAGGGCACCGAGCAGATCTCTGCCCATCACCTTGCCCTCCACAGTACTCTCCAGCTCTTGCTCCTTAGAGGGTGCTCCCTTGGTTGGATGTGCTGGCACCTCTGGGAGCGAGCAGGAGTGGCTCAGCAGAGGGAGGAAGGATGAGAGTCCTCAGGCCCTGCCTCCTGCCGGGAGCGCACAGACGCTGTTTGACTGTAAATATTCTCTGCGCAGTGGGGCGAGAGAAACCCCTCCCATCCCGGGCTACAGGAGAGCCCTGGGAGGCACAGGAGCAGATGGTCAGACAGAGCCTGGCACAGCCCCTGCATGTCCAGCAGAGGGCACCAGTGACCGGGCCGAGTAACCGCTGGGATCCCGAATGAGTCTTGCAGGGAGGACCAGCCTTGCTGGTGACCTTCTCGCTGGTTTTGGCCTGTTCCACAGTGGGAAGTTCCAGGCCCCACAGTGTCTGGGAACTCCCTCCCGGATCCCTCGGCTCCATCCTGATGGCCTGGGGGAGAGTGAGCCCTGGTTCCTGGTCCCCCTGGGCTGCAGCCCGGACCCCCGCCCCTTTCCCAGAACTCTGTTTTCCTCCTAGTACTGAGTTCCACCACTCTCATCCCCTTCAGCAGCTCAGTCTGCGCCCCTGGTTCCTCTTTCTGTCCCCAACTCACACCCTCGCTCCTGCCCCGAGTGTCCGGCCCGCTGTCCTGCTGGGCCTCTCGCAGATAGATCTGTCCCTGTCTTGGCAGTGTGCTGGGGTGGCTCCCGCCCACGTGCTCGGAACTCCAGAAGATCCCTCTTTTCCAGGTCCAGAACCTGACCCTCCGAGCACAGCAGGCCCCAGCGGCAGCAGCCTCGGGGCCGCCCCCCACGCAGCCCGTGCTGCCCAGCGTGGCCCTGAAACCCACCCCCGGTGGCGGCCAGCCTGTGCCTGCCCCGTCCCAGGGCAGAAACACTGCCCAGGGCTCCCCCGCAGGTGCCAGGCCTGGCATCACCGACAGCGTTGCCGAACCAGCCCGGAAAGGAGATGGCAGCAGCAGTGTGCCAGGGAGCACAGAGAGCCGGGCTGGGCCCGGCCGCATGGTGCCCGCAGTGGCGGCCCACCCCCTCATTGCACCAGGTAAGAACTCCGGGGAGAAGGTGGTCTCGGGAGGGTCTGTGGTCCACGGGGAGCTTGAAAACTTGCCTTTCCCCCAGGATTTGGGTACCAGCCATGTCTGCGCGTGGGTCTCCCTTCTGCCCATCTGGAGATGCTCATGGGCCCAGGACTAACTAGACAGAGGCACAGAGGAACCACACTGGGCAGGGACCAGGGAGAAAGGGCAACAGGTGAAGCACGGTGTGCCTCCGCGCATACAGCAGACCCAGGCTCAATCCCCAGCGCCCTGTATGATGGGGCCCCGGGCCCCATCCGGAAGTGATCCCTGAGCGCAGAACCAGGAGTAAGCCCTGAGCACAAGACAAAACAATTGCACAGGGCAGGAGGGGAAGGGAACATTTCTCTTCTCGTCCTTCGTGAGGCATTTGTTGACTGATGTTTTACCAGCATTGTGGCCCGTTCTGGGGGTGCAGAGAAAAAGGGGAGGAGGACTAGACCCACCCTCACAGGAAGGCCTGGACTGAAGAGACGGGTGCTCCCAGGAAAGAGAGGGAGAGCTACGCGGGTAAATGGAGCTACAGAGGGTTCTTCGGCTCTGGGAAGGGTGACCAAGAAAGGCCCCACAGTGGAGATGGCACTGGAGAAAAATCCAGCAGGCTTCTTCCTAATCCAGCGGGTTGCTGGGGAGGTATGCCCGGTGCAGAGGGGAAATGGACCCTCCCTATAGCCAGCCGTCTTTCCCAGCCCGTTGTGGCCAATCTTGAAGCCGAAAATTCACCAGGGAACCAGCTGTTTCAGCACAGAACGAAGCAGGGTGGCAAGACTCACATCTTTGTATGCAGGAGAGAATCACCCCAGTCACCTCCCAAGACAACTCCTGCCCTTCCCCCCGCCCTCATCCTGACCCCTTCAGCGTTCCATCTCGCCTTCATTCTTTTTATTATTATTATTATTATTATTATTATTATTATTATTATTGAGTCATCATGAGATACAGTTACAAAGCCTTCATGTTTGAGTTTCAGTCATACAGTGATCAAACACCCATCCTTCCACCTGCCTCCGCCTATATATTTTCTACCACCAATATTCCCAACATCCCCCAACCCCATCCCACTCCTCCACCTGCCTCCATGGCTGACAACTTCCCCCATACTCTCTCTCTGCTTTTGGGTATTATGTTTTGCAATACAGATACTGAGAGGCTATCATGTTTGGTCCTTTATCTGCTTCCAGCACTCATCTCCCATCCCGAATGATCCCCCCAACCAGCATTGACTTAGTGATCCCTTCTCTATTCCAGCTGCCCTCTCCCCCAGCTCCTGCGGCGTTGCCCTCTTTCTTGGCCTATAGGAGACTAAGAGCTTCCTTGTTCCCAGGATGGTCAATACAACTCCTTGCTTAGGGAGCAACAAGGAGGGTGCAAACTCCCTTCCGTTTCGTGCACGGGGTCAGGGGGTGAGTGTGCGTAATTGTGGTCACAGGCGGCCACTCATGGCCAGGAGGGTGGTCCGAGACAAGAAAACCTGAACCCCCAAACATGGGGCAGTGGGTTGGAGCAGGGGAATGTTTGAAGCAGAGCATACACAAGGCAAGTGGAGTGACAGCCAGGGGACAGTCCCAGTTTAAGTCCTTTGTTCACCTTTTTGAGGGTCCCGGGGCAAAGGGTGAGTCTCTGCCTTCCAGAGGTGGGTACTGAGCTGAGACAGGCCCCTTAGTCTCTTGTTCTTCTAGATGTTTCTCTCTGAGATTAACCCAGTCTCTTACAGAGAAAAGGAAACTGAGACTCAGAATGGTAAAGATTGAAGGAATCTTACAGTGCTTTAATCGTCACTTGGGCTAAAACTCAAATCCCCAATTAGCATTTCTTCTACCCTCTTTTTGTTTGGAGAGGGGAACACACCTGGTGGTGCTCAGGGCTCACTCCTGGCTCTTCTGCTCAGGCGTCACTCTTAGAAGGCTCCAGGGATGAAACCTAGGACAGCCACCTAGTGCAAAACAAATGCCCTACTTGCCATGACCATCTCTTCAGCTCTCCTCTACCCTCTTATTCAACCTCTGAAGTCTAGAATCAGCTTCAAGACCCCAAATGGGTCCCTGTTAACTGTCTATGGTTTTCAGAGATAGTTTTGGTTTCTTTGGTTTTGGTTGGTGGCTTTTCTTTGGGTGTTTTTTTGGGTTTTGTTTTTGTTGGTGGTGGTGGTTTTTGTTTTGTTTTTGGTGGTGGTGGTGGTGGTGGTGGTGGTGGTGGTGGTGTGTGTGTGTGAGTGTCTGTGTTTGGGCCAAACCTAACTATGCTCAGGACTTACTCCTGGCTGTGCTTGGGGATCACTCCTGACAGGGCTCAGGGGATCATATGAGGTACTGATGTTGAACTCCGGTCAGGTGTGTGCAAGGCAAACGCCTTGCCCCCTGTACTCTCCCCAGAAACCCCCCCCCATTAACTTTTTAAACCTTTTATTTTAAATGTTTATGACTTAATATTAGTAAATGTCTTATTTGTACCTATTTTATAAACCAATATATCTGGGGCCACATAACAATTTCTCAGGTGAGAGCCCACAGATAATAAAGCAAGTATGGTACTTGCCTTGCATGTGGCCGGCCTCGGTTCAGTCCCCATATATGGTTCCCCAAGAGTGATCCCTGAGCTCAGAGCCAGAGAAAGCCCTGGGCACTGCGGGTATGGTCCAAATGCCACCCCCCCCCCCCCCGCAAATAATACATTTCTCAAGTGAAATTATATGGGTGGAGACATTTAAGACCTGCCCAAGAGGAGAGCTGAGGCTGTGCCATTCTCACCCAGGCCCAGACGTACATGCTTCGTCGACCTATGTCAGCCGCTCATGCAATAATTCTCGGGATCCGCGGGGAGGTGGCCCTGTTGGGGCTGGAGCAATAGTCCAGCAGGGAGTTTTCACATGCCTGACACACAATCAGCCATTTTTCCACCCTGAGCACTTCCAGGAGTGATTTCTGAGTGCAGAGTCAGGAGTAGCCCAGGGTGTAGCCCCGAAACAAAAAAGGAAAAGAAAAGCCAGTTCTCAGGGGTATTCCCGTGTGCCAGGTGAGCTAACCCCAGAGAGGGGCCTGCCTGGGAAAGGGCCCACGGTGTGCCAGCCAGTAACAGGCTGTTTGCAAGCCCCACACCTGCCTCGGACTCCGGAGGGAAGCAGGCGAGAAACTGGGGCTCTAGGGTGCGACCAGTGAGAAACTGGGGCTCCAGGGTGCGACCCAGGAACCCACCGCACCTGGAGCTCAGGCCAGAAACACACAGTTCCACATCCAGTTGAGTCAGATCCTGGGGGCCTGGCAGAGAGCCCCGTTTGCCCCCTCAGTTCTCACAGGAGCTTGGGGTTGCTCAGTCTTTCCAGTTCCTGACACAAGCCCCGGGGATTGCCCAGGGGGCTCCAGCCTCCCAGAAGCCTTTCTTCTCTGCCCCCTCTGCCTTTGCCCAGCCTCTCTCCCCCTCCTCCGTCCATCCCTTTCTCCCTCTCTGCTCTCCCCCTTCTCTCTCCTTTTGTCTCTCTACCCCTTCTTCCTCTCCTCTCTGCCCTGCTCTCCCTTCTCCACCCCCCTGCTCATCTCTCCCTCCCTCCCTCCCTCCCTCCCTCCCCCCCTACACACACACACACACACACACACACACACACACACACACACACACACACACACCCTGCTCAGGGCTACTCCCAGCACAGTGCGTGGGGGGCCATGCGGTGCTGGAGGTCAAAGCCAGGGCTCAGCCTTCAGCCACCCCATCCAGGCTCAGGGATCTGTTCTCATGAGCCTGCTGAAGGGCCCCCTCCTGTGAGCGACAGGCTCAGGTGCCAGGCCCAGGTGTGCTCCAGCGTGTGTGACTCTGAGCGGTAGGGGTCGGGCCAGGTGCCGCCTGCACAGAAGCTTCCAGGAGCAGCTGGGAGCTGCCTTGGATGCCCCGACCACCCCCCCCCGCCCCACCCCAAACCAGCCCCCAAGACACCACCCACGGGCTTTGCATTGTGGCTGCCTCCTGTCTTCTCCCGGTGAACCCTGGAGCTCCTGACCCACCTCCCAGCAAAAGGCTCCACACAGAAGAGCACATTCGAAACCCCTGTCCACCTGGCCCTGCAGGGAGGCCAGAGCACCTGGCTGGCCAGTCTGCCCACCTGGAGGGGGGGGGGGGCGGCTGGGAGGAGAGAGAGGAGGAGGGAAGGAGGGAGAGAGAAAGAAAGGGGAGAGAGGAAGAGAGAGACTGAGAAAGAGATGGAGGGAGGAAGAGAAAAAGAGGGGGGAGAGAGAGAGAAAGGGGGGGAGAGAGAGAAAAAGGGGAGAAGAGGAGGGAATGGGGCCAGCACTTTTTTTTGTTGTTGTTACTGTGTTACTGGAGCATTTTGGGAGCTGGCTGGCTGCCCCCAGGGAAAGAAGCTGGTAGAAACTTGTGGGGGGTGTGGGGGTGTGGGGAGTGTAGCCAAGTGGAATGGTGGGGGGGGGCTGCTTCCTCCCCAGGCAGGCAAAGCTAGTCCCAGCTGGGCCTGCTCCCCCTGACAGCTGTTTGGGGGCACAGCACCTCCCCCAGGGCTCACTCCCTGCTGTTCCCGCTCCTGTCACCTTGGCAACGGCTTCTTTAGGCTCCACAAATAGAAAAGGTCCCTTATGCCCCCGAAGGGGTGGGTTGGGGGGTGGGGGAGGGGCGCAGGGGTGGAGAACAAGTCCTCGAGGTGGGGCTCCTGCGGGGTGCAGGACGGAGCCAGGAGGCCTCCGGAGGGGCTGGCGAGTTTGGGGTGGGGGTCCCGGGGCCATGTCCCCCGCTGGGAGGCCTGTTTCTCGGGGCTCGCGGATAAACTTCAGGCCTTGAGCCCGCGCTTTGGCCTAAAGGTGAGGAGGAAGTTGCTGCCGGGGAGGGAGCTGCTGGGGTGGGTGGGAGGGGGCGCTGGGGGGCCTGGGTGTGGGGACCCTTGCTGTGCGTCCCCCTGTGATCTCGTGGCTCCAGTCGCCAGGTCTTTGCTCCGTCTCCGTGTCCCTCCTTTCCGTGAGGAGAG